AACATTGAGTCTTCCTATCCATGAGCAAGGGATATTCTTCCACTTTTCAAGATCTCTTTTTGACTACTCTCCTTTCTAGCTGCATATTTGCATATTCCAGACATTTAAGTGGAATCATTACAGTATTTGTCCTTTAAAATCAACAACTTTCTTTTTTTCTTCTTCTGTGATTTGGGTGTAGGTTGGCAGAGGAGAACCAACACATGACATTTTTATTCCTGACATTGATTGTTGTTCCCACAATAGAACAGCACTCATCCTGCTTCCTCCTGAAGCTTCCCTTTTCCCTTAGTCCTTCCTGTCCCGTCCTCCCTTCTGATCTTGTACGGCTGACACATTATACCCTCCCCACCAGCGCTCCTGTCAGTGTACAATAATAAGACTAAAAAGTTTGAAGTCAAATAATTATATGCATACCGATAAAAAAGGTCGAAGCCTTTTAAGCATGATGAAAATGTGGCAGACACACAAAGCAAGCGCCTGCTGTTGGAAAAAGAGCACTCGTGGGCTCGCTCCATGCACTGTGGCCACAGACCGTGGAAGACTTCTTGTTAAATAAAACACACAGGCTCTGCAAAGAGCAATTAAAGGCAGCACAGTGAAACGAGGAGTGCCGGTGCTTTGCAAAGGCTGATGAAAGAGAGGCGTAAAGCAGGGGTGCGATGGTTCACATCACTGCACGTGCACAAATTATGTCCGCACAGGTATTGGCGTGTTTGTTTTCACCGAAATATTCAAAAGCAAAGCAAAATTCATCAGGGAAAAAAAATGGGAGGACTTTTCTCTCTCTGCCATCGGAGGGCGACCCTCTGGCCTTCAGGGAGCGTCCTGGCCATTTAGTGGCCGTTGATGTCCTGGCCCTCCCCAGCCCAGCGTCCTGGAATTCTCTTGTTCCAGGTTCATGAACCACCGAGTTCCTGCCCACAAGCGGTACCAGCCCACGGAGTATGAGCATGCTGCCAACTGTGCCACCCACGCCGTGAGTCAGCTTGTGGGGAGGGTGGGCTCTGAGGGTGGGCTCTGAGGGTGGGCGTGGGAATCTGCCCCGGGGTCAGGAGAGGCAGCTTCTCAAGAGGCCCTTGGAACAAACAGTGGGTGGGACTGCATGAAACACCATTTGACTAAATTTGAACGTGCCACGGAGCTGGTCTCTCTCTTTTGCTCTAAGAACTTTCAGTGGCTCCCTATTACCTAGCACTGCACGCAGAGCCTTTGACCAACTCTGGGTCACAGCTGAGCCTGTTAGACCAGCCTCGCTTCCCACTTCCCACCGCCCCAGGAGCCCTCAGGCTGCGGCCACTTGGAACCACTTCCTGCGTCCCACATGGAGGACAGATGCCACACCTTCGCATAGGCTGTCCGTCCCCTCTGCTTGGGATGTGTGTCATTTCCACCCCAGCCACCTTGGAACCCCTCTTTATCATAAGAAAACAAACCCCAGCTGCCGTGGAGTTGACTCCATCTCGTGGAGACCCTGCATGTGTCAGGGTGGAACTATGCCCCACAGAGTTCCCAGGGACTGATTCTGGGGAAATAAATTGCCAGGGCTTTCTTCCAAGGTACTTGGGCAGGCTGGGACGCCCAGACCTTGGTTGTCAGCCAAGCACATTACCTGTTTGCACCACCCTTGCTTTGGTGTCTTCCCATCTGCTCTGAGCTGGTGAGCTCTGAACCTGATGTCCCTGGACACGGCTCTCTTAGGGCTTGCCTCGGGCTTGCCAATCCATCTCCTGTAGAGTGGCTGGTGGATTCGAACAACTGATGTTTTGGTTAGCAGCCACTGTGTCACCAGGGCTCTGCTTTAACATTGGCAGCCAAGGAAATCCCGGGGAGAGATCTGCTCTGTAAAGTGTGCTGCGACTGGGAGTCCAAATCGACTCGATGACAATGGGTTTTCACTGTGTGCCCCTGGAGGCAGTGGCGGTGGGAGTCGTGCCCTGCATGAGACCTGGGCTCCATGAGACCTGGGTTCGAGTCCCAGCCACTGTACTTTAGGCATCACTTCTCTGTCCCTGTAGGCTTTCATGCTGTGGTCATGTTGAACCGGTTACAGTGGAACTTCCAGCCTAAGACTAAGAGGAAAGGCCTGGAGATCTGCTTCTGAAAGTTCATGAAAACCATAAGAATCACAGTGGTCCACCCCATAGGTGACCCGTGGGAACGGCCCAGGCCTGACCACTCAGTTCTGTGGCGCAGGATTTCAGGACTGGCTCAGTGGCAGCTAAGAAATAGTTGGGGTGTTTTTTTGTTGTTGTTGCTGGGTTTTTTGTTTGTTTGTTTGTTTTTAATTTCTTAATGGACGACAGTTGGGGTAAACTTTTAAAAAATTGAAATTCAGCCTCTCTGCATCCGTAGTCCCTTTTCAAGTGCTCTGAATCCACACAACTACCATATTTGACAGGATCCCTGATTTTTAGTGCATATTGGGCTGTTGGCCCAGATGTCTGCGGTTTGAATCCACCAGCCTCTCCTCAGGGGCAGGACGGGCGACCCCCTCGGTTCAGCGTTGGCAATCTGCTGGAGGCTGCCCGTGAGCCAGCACCGAGCCGCCGTCGGCTCGGTGCCATCCTGGACGGCGCTGCCCTGGAACCTCTGTCACGGGAAGCTGGGAGAGCGCTGGTCGGGGGAAAGAGGGGGAAGGCGGCTGTGACATGTCTAGGCCCTGTCAGCGCACAGCTCATGCACTCTGGCCACAGATCAGGAGGGAATGGCCCCTGGAGGGGGATGGCGTGCTCTGGAGAGCAGAGGGTCGCTGCGCGCTCACAGCCCTGTTCTCTCCGGTTCCAGTTCTGGATCATTCCCAGCATCCTCGGCAGTTCCAACCTCTACTTCCTCTCGGACAACGACTGGAAAACCATGTCGGCATGGATCTACGGCCTTGGCCTCTGTGGCCTCTTCGTGGTCTCCACCGTGTTCCACACCATCTCGTGGAAGAAGAGCCACCTCAGGTACCTCGTGCTCTGCCCATCAGCCGGGGAGGCGCTGGGCGGAAGGGCCTGGGGCCCGCAGAGGGCCAGGGATGAGGACTTGGGCAGCTGAAGACAGAGGGGACTAGGGGGATGACCCTGGGGCTGCCTTTCAGCTCCTTTTTATTATAATTTGGGTGAAAGTTTATAGTTTTCTGTTGAGTAGTTCACACACTTTGGCCTGTGACCTCGATAACCACCCCACGCTGTAACAGCCCTCGACCCTCTCCCTCCCTGTGCTTCCCATCTCCGTTCATCCTTCCCCCTTCTTGCCTCTTGAGTTTTATCCCTGGGTGAATGATGACTTTTTTTTAAGTGAAAGTTCACAAATTATTTTCATTTTTCATGCAACCATTCATAAACATTGTTTTATAAGATTAATTAATCACAGGGAGCTCTGGTGGCCTAGTGGCAGGAAGCTGCACTGCAATCCCAGAGGTGTGCGGTTCAAATCCACCAGATGCTTTGCTGGAGAAGGAGGTTCAATCTCCTCCAGTACCAGTCAGATCTGATTTGACGGTACACATACAAAGATAATAAAATAATTTTTTAAAAAAGATTAATTAATCAATTGTCCTGCAGGAGTCAGGCCTGGTGATGGGCTTTGACAAAGATCATCACCATGAAACCCCATAGCACACAGTTCTACCCTGTGCCTCATGTGTTTGCCAGGAGTCACTCACCAAGATCTCTGGGTGGTGTGAGCAGTCCCACTCTTGGCTGCTAACCAGAGGTTGCAGGTTCAAGTCCACCAGAAGCACCTCACGAAAAAGGCCTGGTGGTCTAATTCTGAAAAATAGCCGTCTAAACCCCCAGCAAGCACAACCTGCACTCCTGGGGTGGACAAGCGTTGGGGTGGACGGGGCAGCAATGGGCGTCCCCGGGTTTGGGTTTGAGTCCCTTTTGGATGCAGACACTGAGGGGTGCAGGGTGGAGGCAGGGGCTCGGCTGGGCCTGGGCCAGCTGGGGCCCTGGGCTGTCTGAGCTGCTCCGGCCCTGACTGCTGGCCTCTCTGTCCTAGGACGGTGGAGCGTTGTATGCACATGTTCGACCGCATGGTCATCTACTTCTTCATCGCAGCCTCCTACACGCCCTGGTGAGTGACCCCAGTGCCTGGGCCAGGGCACCCCCGCCCCGCTCTCTTCTTGTTGAACATAGGTGTATACAAGGGACATCTGCACATAATGAGCCGGTGGTATAGTACAAAGCGTGTTGGGCTCCAAACCGAAAAGTCAGTGGTTTGAATCCACCAGCTGCTCCATGGCAGACAGAGGGTCGGTCTCCTGTGAAGACACGCAGCCTGGAGAACCTGAGGGAAGGTCACTACGAGTCGCTGTGAACTGGACGGTGGGGGGACACACGGGGGGAGCCCTGGTGGCACCGTGGAGAAAACGATGTCCTGCCAACCAAAAGTTCGAGCAGTTGGAACCCCCAAGGGCTCCGAGGGAGGAGGGGTGGCTCCTGTGAAGACCCCCAGCCTTGGAGCCCCTCTAGGGCGTGTCAGCTCTGTCCTACAGGCTGACCATGTGTCAGAGCTGACTCAACAGCTAAGCGCTGTGCTCAGTGCGGCTCTTGCCAGCGCGGGCAGGAGCGTCCTCACGCTGCCTCCTTGTGCACACACACGGGGCGGACGCTGGGCTCACGGCGGCCTCGCTGCCACTGCTCAGGAGACCCACGGCCGTCGCATCCTTTCTGGCCCCTGGGCCCTCCGTTGGCTTTTCCTAGGCTGTAGATCACAACGGGAGGACAGTGCCCACCTTCCCACCACACAGCCATGGTGAAGTCACACTGTCCCGTAACAAAAGTCCTGCAAATGGGTGGCCTTAAAGAACAGGCTTGCTCTTTCTCACAGTTTTGGAGGCTTAAAGGTCAAATCAAGGTCTTGGCCTGCTAGACGACACTTCCCTAAGCTTCTGGGGACTGCTGGCCAGGAGTGGGGTTCCCTGGCACCATCCTCTGCTGTATCTGTCGCAGACACAGAAGGGATCAGGGCTAGGACCATCCACTCCAGTATAATAATCTCACCAACATCACATCACATCACATCACATCATACATAACATAACATAACATAACATATAACAACATAACATAACATATAACATAACATAACATATAACATAACATAACATATAACATAACATAACATAACATATAACATAACAGCATAACATATAACAACATAACATAACATAACATATAACAACATAACATAACATATAACAACATAACATAACATATAACATAACATATAACAACATAACATAACATATAACAACATAACATAACATAACATATAACAACATAACATAACATAACATAACATATAACATAACATAACATATAACATAACATAGCATAACATATAACAACATAACATAACAACATAACATAACATAACATAACATAACATAACATATAACAACATAACATAACATATAACAACATAACATAACATAACATAACATAACATAACATAACATAACATATAACATAACATAACATAACATATAACAACATAACATAACACAACATATAACATAACAAACTCTCTCCCCAGGCTGAACCTCCGAGAGCTGGGGCCCTGGGCCTCCCACATGCGCTGGGTCATCTGGATTATGGCCTCCGGGGGCACCATGTACGTCTTCTTCTTCCATGAGCGGTAAGCCAGGGCTGGGGGCCCCAGGTGGGTGCGGTGCCCCTGCAGAGATTTCACGGGCTGAGACCCCAGGGAGATGGGTCTGCCTGTCCTCCCAGTGCTCAGGCCTGTGGACGGAGACCAGGTCCCACAGCTCAGAGAGTCAACCTGAAGAGCTTTCCAAAAAAGACATGTAGGTCCTGGACCCGCTCACGTGTGAGCCAGGCAGACCTGTCTTCTCTGAGCTGTGCATCTTGGGATTCTGTAGAGCACCATTCTAGTGATGCATGTGGACTGATGACACGCCAGATGGTGGGTAGACAGGTCCACAGAGAGATGGACAGCGACATGCATAGCTTTCCCTCTGTGGTGGATGAAGATGTGAGCAGACTAGATCAAAGGTTAGCGGATAAACGGATACACAGTTACCAGGTAATTAGAGAACTCGGGCTCCTTGCTGTTGAGCGGGAACTGGCTCGGAGCTAATCCTCCACTCGGTCACTGAGGCTGCAAATTGCACGAGTTTTGCCCGTTTTTCTCCTGAGGAGCTATCTGGTGGCTTGAACCGCTGCAGAACATCTGGATTGCAGTACCACCGCCTACACCACAGGGCTCCCTGTATAAACAGATAGCTAGAAGGACATATGTATGGACAGTCGAGCAGATAGCTGCGTGAGTGGGTAGATGGCTGTGTGGAACGGTGAATGGATGTGGAAATGACTCATCAATGGATGGTTGGATAAATAAAAGGATGGATAGATCGACGGGTAGGTGGAACAAACAGACGATAGATGTATATATGGATAACATTTTTTCCAAGAAATTAGCTTATGAAAAATTAATAGGTCAGGTGACAGGCTGAAGACTCTAGGACGCTTGAGTGCCAAGGTCCATCGGTCAGGCGATGGACGAAGTGTAGAGTGAAGTGAAAATTCAGCCTCCATATCTACCTAGACTGCAGGGAGGACGCTCCCTAGAGAAACGCCCTTTTCAAATGCTTGATGAAGCACGTTCTCATCAGGTTATGTTACGGAAAGAGATTACATCACTTACACCACATCACGCCCCACTACAGTAAATAAGATCATTACACAGCACGATAGTGGGAAGCTCTGGAGGCCTGGAGGGTCAGGAATTGCACTGTCACCCTAAAGGCACGAGGTCTGGATACACTAGCAACTCCACAGAAGAGAGATGAGTGACTCCCTCCTGGGGGACTCACCACCTCTGAAAACCCACTGGAGGGTCAGCTGTGAGTCAGTGCCCGCTTGATGGTAATGAATGGAGGGATTTTTAAGTTGCTATTACATTATTGTTGTTGTTGTGTGCCATGGCGTTGGAATCAATCCACAGCTGACACTCCAGCAAACTTTCAGAGGCAGTAAATCGTATGGGGGAGACTGTCTGTCCTTCTGTCGTGGAGCAGCTGGTGGATTTGAACCACATGCTTTGGGATTGCAGTGCAGCTTCTTATCACAAAGCCACCAGAGTCCATTATATCATGGAATATTGTTACATCAAATTACATGATGAAGAATCATTACTTTGCATTACAGGAGGACCTTCATTATGCTACAGATCGTTACATTATCTTACATTATGGAACAGCAACTAGAATGGTGATTGGCTAACCTATCAAACGGCAAAGTCTAACGTGTTGTTGTTGTTATTGTTATGTGCCGTCGAGTCGCCTGCGACTCATAGCGACCCTATGTACAACAGCCCTAAACTCTGCTCTGTCCTGTGCCAATCGCACTGTCTCTGACACTCCCATCCCGATTACCCCAGTCACTGAATCAATCCACCTCAGAGAGGGCCTTCCTCTCCTGCGCCGTCTAGTTGACGCAAATTAGCCATCATACTGTACCAGCAATGACAGGGCTGAGAACAAAAACAGGGACAGAGAAGCAAATGAATGTCCAACTCCTAAATCTTCACGCCCACAGGGCCTTTAAAAATCACTCACCCCAGGAATGGGAAGTCGGCTTCTCTTGACTTACAGATCAAATTGACTGGGAGTGGCTAGCACTGTGAGCCACGATGCTGTGATTGACTAGTAATGTCTGCCATGGACGTGATCTTGGTATCACAGGTATGCACACTCCACCTGCTGTTTGCAATCTCTGTTCTCGCTCAAGTGTACCATTTCACAGGTGTGCAAATCGAATCTCAGAGAAGGGGAGAGAGTTGCACCACTCTGCCAGCACCTAGTAAGGTGTAGCTAAGTCAAATGTTAACAGTGGAGGGCCAGAGGGGGGCCCCTTTCGTCTCACTCCTCAGCAATGGGGCCCCAAAGGCTGCCTCCTCCTGGGGAGGCGTGCTCTGAGGCCAAGATGGCGTGTCTTCCTGCCAGGTACAAGGTCCTGGAGCTGCTCTGCTACGTGTTCATGGGCTCCTTCCCCTCCCTGGTCATCCTGTCCATGGTGAGTCCCACACACCCCGCGTGGCGGTCACTCTTAACTCTCAAGACTGTCAGAGCTAATCCTCTGCTGGGCATATGGGGAAACTGAGGCTGAGAGGAGCAACATGACTTGTCAAAAGAGAGAAAAGAACACAGCAACTAATACCCAGGGCTTTTGTCTTGAATGACTGGGCTACATCACTCCTGGTCTCTGTTGAACCTGAGTGGGGGATCCACGGGCTGTTAAATTGGGTTACACATCAAAGTGTGCATTCTATGTATTGACACACACAGAGACAGACACACACACACACACACACACACACACAGTAACCATCTAAGCCCTCGTACCTTCACTACCAGGTTGATGCCAAGGCATTGTGGCCCTGTCAAATCTCCAGGGCTGTCCATCTTCATGGAGGAGCTTGTCCCTCTTTCTCCCTCAGATCTGTTGATGGATTTGAACCGCAGACCTCACTGTTACAGCCCAATCTGTTATTCATTATGCCACCCAAAAAGCAAACCAACTGACTGTGAGTCGGTTCCTGGTCTTGGTGATGCCCGTCAGGTTTCTGAAGCTGTAATACTGACAGACAGACGACCTCTCTTCTTTCCGCGGAGCAGCTAATGGATTTGAACAGCTAACTCTTTGGGTAGCAGCCTGATAGACTGATTACACTCACTCACTCATTCTGTGGAGTTGGAACCACTCAGAGCTGAGCCCCCATTGGATTTCCAAGGTTAATGGCAAGGTCACCAGTTCAAGCCCACCCACCACTCCACAGAAGGGGAGGCTGTCTTCCCGGAATTCCTATGAGGAAGTTTTACTCTGTCCTAAGTCAAAACTTGATGGCAATGGTGACTGCTCATCCCAGAAGGGGCCCTGGTGGCACAGCAGTCAAGCACTAACCAGAAGGGCAGCAATTTGAACCCACCGCTGCTCTGCAGGCAAAAGACAGGGCAGTCTGCTCCCGCCGAGACCACAGCCCCTACAGGCTTTGCTCTCACCCGCTGGAGTCAGGAGCCAACCAGTGGCTGCAGGCACTATTTGTTTGCTTTGCCCCGAACCCTCCACGCATATACAGACTTCTAGAAAAAGATAGAAAGCCAAGATACACTTTGAGGCTTTGATAGAAATGCTTTACATTGAGAATGGATTTGGGGTGAATTGGTGCTTTCCAGAGTGGGAACCTGACATGTGGGGATTGGGCTTGACCCGCTGTCTACACATGTGTGGCTTACTTGGGGTGATATGGGGGTGGCTGGGCTCCTCGCTGACCTGTGCCCCTCCCCTGCTCTTGCCAACAGCCCAACACCGATGGCCTCTTGGAGCTGGTGACCGGAGGGGCCTTCTACTGCCTGGGCGTGTTGTTCTTCAAGAGCGACGGGAGGGTGCCCTTTGCCCATGCCATCTGGCATCTCTTCGTGGCATTTGGTGCCAGCACCCACTACTATGCCGTTTGGAGATATCTCTATCTGCCCAGCACGCTGCAGGCCAAGGTGTCCAAATGAGATGGTCCTGACTCCATGGTCCACTGGGCCCTGGGAGCAGAACATCACACCAAGTGCTTCTGAGACTGTGGTCTGGTCCACGGTGCCCACAGCTGTCTGCCCTCCCATGGGTGGAGCTGTTCTGGGACCAAGGTGACAGCCAGGCAGACTGTCCCTCTGAAGCCGAGAAAGAAGACATCTCATCACATTGACTGGGAGCCATTACTCCTGTCACTGTCATTTTTTTTGTTACAGACAGCATTTCATAATACAGCCAACATGAACCCCTTCAGAAAGGGGAGTAGCCAGGTCTTGGCAAATCAGTGCCAACGTTTGGTTCTTGAAGTCCTGAGAAGTCTGGTGGGTTATTTGTATCCGAGTGAGCAATGTTCTCTTGTCTGCTACCAAAGTCCTGGCAGGGAACTTATCCCCTGGTTGGGGAATGTCCGTGACCATGGCAGACATCACTAATCAAGTGCAGCAACTAGCAGTCGATGTGGTCCTCATGACAGAGCCTCATGGCTCTCTCTGCTCAGGTGGACTTGGATGGGACCATGAGCAGACAAATGTCTGTGTGTGGAGGCCCACCCACATCTCCTGCACTAGTGCCTTCTTTGTCACCTCCCTTTCTGTTTTGGGGAGGTCCTCTGAGTGGGGCAGTCTGGGGAGGGAGACCCAGGCGCCCGGCCTCAGGGTGTCCTGTGCTTCTGCACCTGGACGCAGCTGGTCCTCAACACCGAGGAGGAGGAGGAGGTTGGGAATGGAGAAGCCACTGGTTGGTCATTTCTTCTCATCCGGACAAATCGTGACTGCCATCCCTGAAAGGGGATAAGAAGCTCCACGGGGACAGTCTCTGCCGCGCTCCACATTTAGGATCGGTGAGGCCAAAACCCCAGGCTCCCTGGGGGCTGGTCGGCCGCTCCCAGAGGCCACTTGCTCTCACATTCAGAGCCACTCAGGCAAAAGAGGGGAGTCCTCAGCCACAGATGACATATCTGGGATCCCCCTCAAACTTGAAGTCCCCAGTGGTCCACCAACAAGTCTTCCTGGGAGACGAGGGAATGGGGTGGGCCCTGTCTTCCTAGCTGCCTCCCCCGACAGGGCTCACTCAGCCTCTGCAGAATGCCCTGTAGACACTTGGTGACCATGGTGGCAGGTCAGGCTCTGCAGAGTGAGCCCGTCCTGAGTCATGTGGACTTGGTTCTGTGACTCTCCTCTGTAGTAGGATGGGTGAGGGTGGGCAAAGAGATGCCTTAAGCTTAGTTCTAGAACATTCCAGGGTATTCTGGCATCCGGAATCCCATATGTCCAAGCCAACATTACATCATCTTGACACAGTCCTCGGACTGATGTGCTCTGAGGTGGGAGAGATGCGCTGGGGCTCGGGGTATGTGTGTGTGTGTATGTGTGTGTGAGAGAGAGAGAGCGCACATGAGATGCAGACACTTCTGAGTCCCGGGGCAGCCTGTCTGTGGTGAGCCAGCACACAGGGCACTCTAAGGCTCTCCGGTCAGTAGGAGCAGGGGAAGGCACCCTGGTGGTGCAGTGGCTAAAGCCCTTGGCTGTGAGCCAGTACTTGTCGGTAGCTCTAAGCCGCCGGTCAGAGAGGCGGCAGTCTCCTTCTGTGAAGTTTCACAGCCTTAGAAGGCCACGAGGCATTCAGCTCCGTCCTGCAGGGCGTCGGCTGGTTTGTTTGCAGGTGGAGGACAGGTGTGATTGGGGACAGGTGTGGGGCACAGAGCTCCCTGGGTCCAGGGTTCTGACTCCCTGTCTGTGCTCCCTCTGCCCACACACGAGGTTTCCTTGTGTAGGCAGACCTTGCTGTGCCTGCTCTGTGCCCGCCCCAGTGTGGGGAGGAGGCCCAGGGCCACCGGTAGGCCTGCTTCCCTGCCTCCCAGGACTGTCATCCGGTCATTACATGGTGTCATCTGGTTATCTGGGATGCTAGACCAAAGGACCAGAGATTCATCTCAAAGAAGCCTGTCGTCCCACAGTTCAGTGACCAGAAGTCCATCATGGCGCCAGTGGGCGCTGCCGCTGCCTTGGGCTGAGGGGTGAGGGCCTTGGTCTCTGCGTGCGCATGGTGTCCTGGGGACCATCTGACAGGTGCCCAGGACTTCTCTGTAAGTCTAAGCCGTCGGCAGCTCACCATCGGTCAAAGTGGCTTTTATACCATGGAAACTGGCAGATGCCACAATTGTAACTATTTTTTGAAAGTACATTGCGATGAATGAGGAAAACGGAACAAGCAGGACTTTGATCTGTGCTGTTGTCAGGGCCGCCGAGCGGACTGGGACTCGTAGTGACTGTGTGCTGTGATGGGCAGAGGTCAGCATGGTGGTGACGCCAAGGGAGCCCGGGCATCCCACAGCCATATGGGGACAAGGAAGGACAAAGTACAGAGGTGCTTCTGAGGACCTGGTTACCCAGAACCCCGCTTCCACCCCGCTGCGGAAGATGGAAGGAGGGCCCACTCGTGTGGCCTCTTGTTGGTAAACAGCCCATGCGTGCTTTGAGGAGTCAGTCCTGGGGCTTCGGGGTCTGAGATCCCCTATGAGCAACATGCCACAATGGGTGTGGCATCCTTTCAGGCAGGGCTGGGAATTCAGGAGGGGGGATGAAGTCTCCTGAGAGGGAGAAAACCTCAAAACAGTAACCACGTACCACTGAGTTCATCCTGCAACCCCACGTGACAGAGCAGAGCTGCCCCACATGGCTTCCTAGGCTGGACATCTCCACCGAAACCAACGGCCTGCTCTCTCCCAGAGTGGCTGGTGGTTTTGAACCACTGACCTTCCTGTTAGCAAGCTGGGTGCTTAACCGTGACACTAATTTGGTTTTTGGTCATTGTTAGCTGATATTTTTTTTAAATAATTGTGATTTATGTGAATGTTTACAAAGCAAGTTTGTTTTTCACTTTAACCACCATACACATTTTGTTTTAGAATATTAATTGCACAATGTGACTGCACTCTTCCCACTTCCTCTCTGTGAGTCTCATTTCCAGTAATCCGCTTGTCTTACCCCATCCTGCCCTGGGCAGTTCTGCTCTTTGACCTTCAACATTTGGCTATTCTAAGGAGTGAGTGCCTCCCCGGTACTACTGGTCCCCTCACCGTCCAGGCCTTTTTATGGTTTGACTGAAAGTTGAATTATGAAGGTTGAGTTTTGTTCTCAGTTCAAAGGATGCCTAAGGGTCATAGTCTTGGGGTTCCATCTGTCACTGTCAAAGCTGTAATTCTGGCCTTTTCCATGGTTTTTTAGTTCTGTTCCACACCCCCTACACTCTATCCAGGACCCTGTACTGTGACCCCTTTTACAAGGAAGTGCCATGACCTCAATTTAGAAGGGCTCTTCTGCCTGTGTTACCAAAACCCACCAAAGCCACGGCCACCGAGTCAGTTCCAACTCTTGGTGACTCCTTAGGGTTTCCACGGCTGTGAATCTTCATGGGAGCAGAGTGCCTCATCGTTCTCCCATGGAGAACCTGGTGGATTCGAACCACTGACCTTACAGATAGCAGCCCAACAAGTAATGCACTTTGCCTCCAGGACCCTGAGCAGCGCCAGGTTCCAAGCTCTGGCTAACTGCGGAGGGAACCAACTACGTCCTGTCCACAATGTGGGGGCTGCCCTGACAGCTCCTCCCAGTCCGGGTGTTTGGGGGGAAACAGGTTAACCCCAAGTGTCTTTGGTAGTAACTCCCACAGGCTTTTGGTGTCTGCAGTGCTTGGGAATCGCCTTAGCGGGGTGCCTCTTTAAAAACGTCCTGCTGGCCTTTGACACTGTATGTTTGTGAAGCTGGTCTTTCATATTAACACAGTATTTGATAAACATTTGCACCTAGAATAATCCTTCTGCAAATACTATTGTTCTGGTGAAGCAGCAAGTACTTGAATGAATAAAAACTCAAGACTTCTGTCTCTTGCCTGACTGTCTTTTTTTAAAAAAAAACCCACAATATTTGATGGTCATTCTTACAGAACCAATGTCTTACAGAAGCAATGTCTGCTCGTTGGAAGGCTTAGAATGTTTTGAAAAAATAGAAGGAAGTTGAAGCCCCCTTTCTGCTGGGCTGGCTGTCTGCTGAGGTGATCTTTGCAGTTGCCTTTTGTGTACAGGGAAGCTGGGTAATGAAAAAGGAAAACTGGGTGCACTTGAACTGTGGTGTTGAACGACTTCACCCTCAAGAGCTGCTGCCACAGAGATATCACAAGTGGATGACTTTCAGAACCTTAGTCCTCAAAGTAACATCCTTGCTCATTAGCGCTCTAAGGCGGTCCCTTGAATCAGTCTGCCTGATGCAATAAGCTTGCTGTCGTGACTGCTACGTGGGGAACTCTGGGACTTAGTGTTCAGAGTTGCAGTGCTAACACAGAGGCTGCCTTTTTGGCCGCTCAAGTTCATGAGCGGCTCTGAGGGAGAGAGAGAGTCCATCTCTTCAGCAACCTGCCTGCAGGTGTACTAGAGTGGGTTCCCGCCTAACCGCTGTGAGTGAGTGGCACTCAAGACAAAACAAACGTCACTGCTATGTGGGTGAGGCCCGCAGAAATATTTTCCACTTAAGGATCTTAGGATCTTAGCTGTGCCACAAATTCATAAAGCCATCTTCTTGAATATCTGTATCAGAATACTGACATAAGCAAATGGAAAAAGGAATCCCCCCCCACCACCACCACTAAAGCCACTTCTACTGTTTCCTCCAGCTCGTGTGCAAAGCTGGGACTCGGGGGCCATCTTTGATGCCTCCTCTGTATATCTGCCTCTTGGCTGTCACCCCTCTTGTCCGTTTCTCTCCTTCACCCCTGCATATTAGTCCAGACGGCCATTACCTGTGTCCAGGTCTCCTGCCGTGGCCTCGTGCTCCCTCCCTTGTCCCCAGGTTACCCTTCTCCAATCTCTCTCAAGTTCAAATCCAACCATGTCACGCTTCTTCTGCTTAACCCCCCCCTGACCTCAAGGTAAAGGCTAAACTCTGTGGAATTACAGTCCCGTCACTTTGATTGCAAGTGAAGGGGCTCCAGCAGCTTAGGAAGCAAAGTGGGTTAATGGGCTTAGGAAGCCCA